ATAATAAATATAGTAACAACAACTATTACCATCAATGATGAAAAATTGTTAAGGTAGCAAAATGGATTATTGATTAATGTTGGAAGCATTACTTTTAACTATAACCGTTGACAACAGTACCGGCCAAAAACATTTTTCATTTTCCTTTTTAAATTTTTCTATAGAATTAATTTCATTATGATATTTTTGGCGAGAATCTCATATTTTCATATTAGCTTATTTTATAATAAGTAAGCAGTATTGGAAGCATAATAATTATCAATTCACTGCTAATATTTTACCACAATTTATAATCTCCTTATGTATTTACAATGATATAATCTGATACAATCATTCTAAAATTACTTGCTGATATCACTCCCGGGTATCATTCCTAATCAAATTATTACATGGCCAGAAGTTCAGGAATTTGATACAAAAGGTCAGGAACTAATTGGAAAATAAGACATAAAGCAGAATTTACGATATCGTTCCTTCTTTTTGATTTAAAAATGAAGTTGTAAATCAAGCGAATAAAATTTTTTTTATATTACTACTAATTTTAGAGCTTTTCGTTTATAAATGAATGAATAATTGCACCAATAATTTTTACTGAAAAATATTGTATACTGAAAAATCTTGCGATCACTAAATGTTTGCTGTATAGTAAGTTAGGCATTCCTTAAATCATTCATGAGACAGGTAATAACAAAAACTTAACTTAATTGAAAAAATAATATTAATTAGAGATAGCACTACAAGAAGTTTGACTATTTGTCATCAATGTTCTATCCTTATTTTGCTTGGAGGATTTTAATTTCAAAAGTATTCTATAAATAATACAAGTTATGTGTCGTAGTAAATGAATTCATCATTAATCATAATTTTTCATCCTTATTTGAAAATGATAATTTATTGCTTTTTTCTTCAAATTTCAAGTGAAAATTCAGATTCAAATATTTTTCAGCGAGAGAAAAAGAGTCACAATTAGTTTGTTCTCTAAACACTTCAGAAAATTTGCATATGAGAAATTGTGGTATAAGATAGGTGAAATGTGACTTTCACTATTAGTAACTTTGTATGGAAGCAAAGGATGCGACAGTATTTCGTTTAAATTGTCAATTTTTTTTTACTTTTATTATATTATTGTGTTATTAGTATTATTGCATGATAGTTACTTTATATTTAATGAAAGCGAAAGTAAACTTACCACTATAAATATTCAAAGAAATACACATGAAAATATTGCAGTTTTGCTCCGATTCAAATCATATTTTCGGGTTAGGAGAATTGGATAATTTATCTTGCATTGCACGACAATGGGTAATGTACTAAAACGAAATCATATCAAAACATCTCCTCTCAATCATTTATTGTCATATAGTTTTCAAAAGAAGAAAAGCAAATCATTTTCTAAGGTTTTATTTAAATTTTAAAATTGACTACTTCACTAAAAAAAGATTCATAACTTAAAATTGTCAGATGAATGGATTAAGGAGAATCATTTAACGATGCTATCATTTATGCGAAAAAGGAAAAAATTTATAAAAGCGTGAAGTAAATATAATTTCCTTTTATAAGAGAAAAAGTTTTTTTATTTAATTATATCACTATGATCACAACTGATATAATATCATAAATACATGTTAGCATTAAGAAGAAAATAAAATCATTATAGAAATTATTTAGCCTAACGAAGCAAAGATGGTCAATTTGGAGGAAAACAAAGATATCGATGAAGAAAATGAAACGAATTCATGGACAACGTTAGTTTGCAATCAATCTGATAATAATATGAATTCTTTCATTTATTTTCTATTAATCTGCAGAAAAAAAATTTTCTGCATATTTGCTAATTAATTATGCAATTATTTATCACTGTACTTTTTGTAATAAATGTAAGTAAGCCTAAAATTTGCATATACAATGATAAGATTAGCAAATGTTCGATGTATTTTACATATTCAATATTTATTAAATTATCTATTTAATATTTATTAAAATTTTACATATTTAACGTCAAATTAAATAAACTGACAAAAAAATTATCTGTACATATTCTTATCAATCTTGTATATCCTTATACTTAACAACAAAAGTATTGGATACATTATCATACAAAATCCTAAATTTTGTTGCAGAACAATTGGCACACGATCATCCTTTAGCACAAGCTATCCAACTGGTGAAGATGGCCCAAGTTTTGATGAAGAAATTACCACAGGCCAGGGTGATTGTAATAACAATGAAAGGTATTTTGTTGACATCACTATGGATCAATCATATATCATTGATATCTCAAGTTGGATTCCACGAATATACATTTCATCTACAGAAATTTGCATAATAGATATTTGAATGGAAGAAAAAAGTACATCTATCATTAAAAGATTAAAACGATTAATTCTGAAATTTACAAAAAGCTAACTTCTAAGATAATTTCAGATCATCAACAACAAGTGATAGTTTGTCAAACACGTCTTCAGATTTTTCATCATTCAAAAATTTAAACGATATCTCAGAACATACGATGATGAGTCCACGAGCTGATGACATCAAATGGATGAATGATGCCCTGCGATACCACGAACAGGAACCTGTCTTCCGTAAAAAACCCTTCGTATGCACCCAACTTCACAAACAACAATTCCCTTCAAACATTACCTTCAATTAGTATCGTAAAAAAAATCCCTTTTATATTTGAGACATTTTTTTTTCCAACCCTCTATAAAATTCTCGAGGAAATTTCTCATGATCTCAATATCAATGTACTGCTAATCATTCGCAGGAAAATCTCTCCTGCAATTAAGAATTTTATTAAAAATTGACAAAAAATAGCAATGATAGTTTTTTTTATGTCAGTTGACACCGATGAATCAGCCGACACAATTGAAAATTTTACATTTCTCACTTTTTAAATCTTCTCATTTTTTCCCGCTGTACAGATAGATAGGAAAGCGTTCAATATCGGAAAGTAAAAGTAATAATTGCAAATTTTTTTCTTTTTTTTTTGAAAATCAAATATACCATTAGGATCGTTAGTGAAGATGGATCAAGAAATTTCAATATTTCTTTCTTTCCCTCTCTCTCTCTCTCTTTCTCCATCATTTTTTAGGATAATTAGCTATAATACTTAACGTGAATCATTTAAACAACTATTGCAGAAGGCGGCATTGAAGATACGACCACGCAAAGTATTTCCACAGCTGAAATGGTATCGTCTCTATCACAAATGGGGATTAAGACAAACACCACAAGCCTATAAGGGTATACTTCTATCTAAATATAACTCAAATCATCATCATGTAATACTTTTCTTTTAACAATGATAATTGCAAACGAACTTTCCCAAATGGTTCAATTTACGCGGTTAAAATTAATCGCGGAGGAGAAAAAAAACCATCAATTTATTGGAATGGTATGATCGTGATTATTAATGATGAATATGTTGCAACAAGAAATTTCATCATTTTCATATATCTTTGCACCAATCATTGTTGTTACTTTTTCCTCCTCTATCAAGGAAAAATGAATGGTTAAATCAAATTTAACAGGAAAAATCATAAAATCATAATAAGTGATAAA